TTTGAGCTGTTATTATTATAATTATTACAATTTTAAAAATATTAATTTGTAATCTATATTTAGTGTTGCCATTATTATATTTATAACCATAAAAAAAAGAAATATAGCTTGTATTCTTTAATACTTTTTGTACCTACTATTAAATACCATGTACTTATATTTTAGATTCTAGAATACAAGTATGCTCTATTAGTTCCCTTTTAAGTATTACTTGAATATGAAGCCGAGATATATAAAATTTAAAATAATTAAAACATCTGCGGTAAAACCCATAGAAAACAGTTAATACCGTGTACAATAAAATTTATTCAAAGTTAAGATTTTCTAAGGATAATTGTATGAAATTGCTTTTATGCAACCTTCAGTGATCCCACACATTCCATGTCCATAAATACATATCCACCGCAGATCGGCACCTTTACACCCACACTATAGTTAGCTTTTATTAAACTGTAGGCAATGAGTGCGTTTGGATTTTCCGTCATCGTAGAAACAGAAGTTTTAATATTATTTAAACAATTCCCATGTTTCTAACTTCAACAAGTATAAATTTCCATACAAACTTTTCTAATAACCTCTTTAATATTGTAATGTATTAAATAAAAAAATAACATTAATACATACTATCGTTACATAAGAAACGTCGTAGTGTTTTCTTTCGTTATATAATAAGGAACTCTTGTGTAAAATTTTATGCCTCTAGATACAGCTTTATGGCAGGTACATCCTGTTTAATCTCGCTGTCTGTACTATATACGAGTACGTACGTACTGAATGAATCAATGAATTTAAAGTTTTTATGAGGTAGATCTTAATTTTTTGCGAATTTATTATATTATGATGACAAAATATAATTTAGTATTCCAAATAAATATTTTACTTTGTGTGTATGTTTGTTTAAAAATATTTTCTATCATAGAAAGTTTAATTAATAAATAAATATGTTGGGACATTAACACACAGCACAATTTAGTTCCATGGTAAGCTACGAGGCCTGTGTTATGGATAGCAGATATTTGATACACTACACATATATAACTTTAAATACATAGATATATATTATAAATATATGTAAACACCCATGACTGGAGTAAAAACATTCGTGCTATTCACACAAATGAATGCCCCCAACGGGACCCGAACATGTGACCTCTGTCACAACAAGTAGGGTCACTACAAATTGAGCCAAACGTGTCGTCAAAAAAAAATTAATGATACATTCAGATAAATTTAAACAAAACAGTACTTCATTATGATTATGATTTGAAGAAATTTGGTATTTCATATTCCCAATCATTTAAAATTCATCATCTATTACAATTATTTTCCTTGATTAAAAACGAAATCGGATTTGGCATCCCACTACTTAATTTTCCTGGTACGTTGTAACATGCCGCATCTAGTGCTCATATAGGCTAGATTTAGGTTACCTGAGTGGCTCTGTCATGCTCGTTAGATTCAAGAACTCTTCAAGGATATAAGTGGCGTAAGGAATTTCCTATTAGGGTTAATATTGACTGAACTTTTACGTTTACAGTTAACTTTCTAGTATTAGAATGTGACATAATTGCCTTGTTTACATTCAATTAATTTTGCTTAAAATGGCTACTAGTATTGTGGTATTTATTTATAATTTATATTTATAAGGAAATAATAAATACATTAATCAATATGAAATCGTAACAAATATTTTTAAAATTAAAAATTTTAGAACTCTAAAAATATCAACACATTTATAATGGTAAAAACAAATTTAAACCGTTTTATTACTATTATATTTTTAAGACTATTATTATATTATTTTATTTAACAACGCGTATCGCGCTCTCAGATACCAATAGGTATATAAACATTTACATCATATGTAATAAACTTTTAATAAAACAGGCTGTTTAATACAATAGTAAAAATATTCCCTCCACAACAGCGGACACGCCGGCGTGTCAGTTAACAATAGATTTCTTTGAATTTTAATTAATTTCTTAGAAATATACCTGGAGGTGTTAAAAATGTAGCCATCATAAAATATTACATCTGCTTTCGTTTAGAAAAGATATTATGTCGCAATAATATAAATGAAATAAGGAAACTTGAATTTTATTAGTTTATACAATGCGTTACCTTTTAAAATGTAAATCTTTATATACATAATATATTGAAGAGTACAATATTTATACGTTTTATACATAGCTTACATAGGAAATACTATTGAGATTATAAACGGCTAATGCGGATGAACCCGAGTGCAGAAACAAGGAAATACTACTAATATGCCGTCGCTGAGTGCATAGCTCGCGATACGCACAATTTACTTGCATGCGCATGTTTAGCGAAAATGAATAAGCACTTGTAAATTATCCTTGTGAATGCTCGCCGCCTAATTTATTGAAGAAACCACGTCGTTGTTGGTAACAAAGATCAATATAAATTCATATTTTATGATCTATGAAAGTTAATAATAAGGATATTAAACTAAAAACATAGTTTTATACTTTCTATTTCATCCCTTATGCACCAATAACAATAATTAAGGTAATTTTAAAAATATCAACTTTATAAGTTTTCATTTGCTATTATTATTGAATTGTTTATTTATTTAGTGTTTTGCAATCAAGTTTGTCCAATGTATGCGGAAGAAAAATCTCTGCTTTAAAGGGTGTTAAAAAATTGATGATGTACTTTAATTTTATTGCCTTACTAACGACGTCGTATAACTTTTATAATTTATTTAATTATACTATGTGTGTCAAAAGACACAAGATTCATGGTAAAAACACACATCGTTGTTTTTTATCAAATTCGTACACTGCACTTTTAGCATTGGGAATGATTTTTTTCTCGAAATTTATATAGAATGTAGATAACTAGAAGGATTCTATATCAGAAGATACTTACCAAATCATTAAAAAAATATGAGCACCGATTTTAATTGGCATAAATCTCGTGAATCTAGCGCAACATATATCGGTTGGTATATTTCAAATACATACAAACGAACTGAACACTTCCGTTTTGAAAATTTTCATACAACAATACAATCTTAGAACGTTTTTTACAACGTTCTTAGTTGAGATAGAATATATTAAAATTATATAAATTAATTGCTTTATTTATAACGAAATAAAAAAAATAGTATACGTTTATTTATTTTATATATTTATTGTATATATTATATTATTTACTTATTTATTTACGCAAAATCGCTACCGCTTATAGCTGATACTACTTTGGCACGGGTCCAAAGCATGGCAAGTCCGCAGTGGCTGCATTGTGAGCGCAATTTATGGACGTCCGCACTAAGTCCCCCTGAAATTAAAAGCTAAATAGAAATGCCATCGAGTTAGATGCGCTACTTTTATCTAACTTTTATATATACAAAAGACCAACATCAATATGTAATTCCATCTTTCAGGATAAGGTCGTTATATAAAATCCTTAAATAAAAAATGGAGAATTATTACAAATAATGTTACATAAGTATTAAATGACTTTTTTAATTAATTCTCGCATTTAGTATATACAGAATTCTTAGTTATATATATTTTTTATTTTAAGTCAACTTAATTGTAATGATACCATTTCTCCACACTTACATTTCTGCGTGCTTCCCGGTCGCAGGATATGCGCATTACATGAATAGCTTAATAAAGCATCAATGTTTAGAGATGCAATTGGATTATATTACAATTTATAGGCTGTCATAGTTAGCTAGTTTGTAGGGTCGTGTGTTATACTTTGTAATATCAAAACTATATAGATAGAGTGATTCAAGCGATAGGTTTATATGTATAACTAGCGAAGCACCCTCGCTTCGCTCGGGTTCGTCCCTGGCGTATGTATACAACTTCCTTATTTGAATCCTCTATTATTAAATTCCTTGGTTTTTTTTTCGTGGGACCCTATTTTTTTCTAAAATAAAAGTAACTTAAGTTACTTCTTATTACATCAGCTATCTGCCAGTGAAAATCCTGTCAAAGTCGGTCCAGCCATTTCAGAGATTAGCCGGAACAAACAGACAGACAGACAGACAAAAATTGTAAAAAATGTTGTTCTGGTATATGTACCGTGTATACATCCATATACATGTAATATAATAATGTGACATACAAACAGACACTTGAATTTCATTTATCTGTATAGAATATAGATACATGTTAATTATAGTACAGCAAAGCCGAGATATTCAAAGATTTGTATTTCATACTAACCGTTAAAATGTACCTAGGGACGAACCTGAGCGAAGCGAGGGTGAGTCGCTAGTGTTAAATATAGGTCTGTAAACTTTCATGGTCACTGACAATATTATTATGATGTAAAACGGGATATTTTAGCATTTAGTACTTTTTAGAGTTCACGATATTTTGGCACTGTTACAAAAGCCATGGTCACGTGTGTACGTGAATTATCAGGCACTCTCAAAAGTAAGTGATAAATATGGTAAATATCTTGTTTTGCTTCATGATAATAGTGCTCATTAATTTATAGTCGAAGCTTAAGTCGGTAAGCTTTGACTTTAAGCTTAAATAAATTGGGACATTAACACACAGCACCATCTAGTTCCATGGTAAGCTACAAGGCTTGTATTATGGGTACCAGATAGTTGATACACATATATAACTTAAATATATACATATTATAAACCACTGAAGGGATTATGATGAATTTTGGTATGATGATAGCTGGTTATCTGGGTCAACATAAAGGGTAGTTTTTACCGCGTGAAAATATCTCATTTTTGAGAAAAAAATACTAAAACTGCAATGTAAGAGTATACAAATATGTAAAACCTAAGAATTTGGTTTTTGGTCATGTGAACGCGGGCGGAGCCGCGGGCAATACTAGTAATTAAATAAAACAAGATATAACGTTTTTTTTAACAGTTTGTGGAATAATTTTAATAATAATAATAAAATAAATGTTCCACTACGGAAATAACAAATATCCTCAGACTTTCGCATTTATAATATTAGTGTGAATAATATGGAAATTCATTGTTCTAGGTGACATTGAGGATTGCATCGTGACGCCGGCGTACCAGGGACAGTTCACGCCACTACCGGAGGCGCTATGCGATTGTATTATGGATCTTACGTCCCAGGTAATTTAGAATATTTTACTTATTTACATATTTTAGCGAGAAAATATTATCATAACGCTAGCTTATTTTATAAATAGAAAAAAAGATCAGCATCTGGGCGACTGAGCTTTTCTCGGCGTTCGGTACAGATAGGAAATTTTGATTTTTCTATAATAACCCCTATATACGTAAAAAGGTAAGCCTTATCTAAATAATATATAGGTACATCATTCGATTCAAATCGTTAGAGCCCATTCCGAGATATATGAAATAAATTTATATATTTACAAGAATTGGTCAGTTAATATTATAATATTATAAAAGACAATTTTAATGACGTAATAAGCTGTTTACTAAACATTATTATCTTAAAATCAAGCGAGATCTGAGTCAAATTTTAATATTTATTAGACCTATATTAGTATTATAACCTTAGGGCAAGCTTATTAAATTATACGTTCCAAATTATTCAAATGATGCAAGCTATTTGCAATTTGCATACATAACATCGAAATATATTCAGTTATAACAGGATTTTTGCATTCGAATTCCGTTGAGCACCTAATACCAGAATGATGAGGTGGCCGTGAAATGTGGAAAATAAAAATACCAGTCCGGTTTCGTGTGCCAACCTGCCCCGCCGCATATTTTAAGCTTTGGCCCAAGTTTAGCACCTAATGCTATGACAATATTGCGACCCATATGAAGCTTTTATGGATCATCAAATTTTCGCGAAAAATCGAAGGAAAATTAGAAGATTATATAATATAATAAATATTGGTGAGAGTGCTTAAGTTGCTTTTAGCAAATAGGTAGAAGTAGTGTCTTAATGCTGCTATTATATACCTACGTATTGTTGCTATTTCTTATATACGAGTACTTTTAAAACAAAAGTTGTTAATTTATAGTGTTATAAAATTCAATGATAACATAGTAATAATGCGCTGACTTGAAAACTAATAGAAGCAAGGTTTAATCACCCGGTCCTCCACGTCTGACATTTTCATGAACGAATTATTTTGAACAAAATTTAACTAGTTTCAGAAACATGAAAATTCCACCAATATGTACTTGACCAGTGTTGGACCGTGATCCGATCCCCCTCGCTTGAATGGAAGCTTGTAAACAGCAGTAGATCATTAAAGCGGAAATCGTTGTGTAATTATATTTAGATAATCATAACGATTATTTTGAAAATAATACGTTTGATGTTTAATATTAATAGGTTTATTGACGATACGCAGGTTCTTATCGGTAAGTTGCAGAACTAAAAGTGATGATATCTACATTAAAAAATAGAGCTGTTATTGTTACGATTAAGTAACAAATTCTGTAAAACCCATTAACGACTAACATGTAGTTTCAAACAGTCACTAGAGAAATGTACTAAGACGATTAATTATTTTATAAATACTAAAAAATAAAAAGTATTATATTAATATTTAATTATTAGAAAATTGACACATAGCATATTTGACGTTTATTCTTTTTTTTTATAAAAATAAAGTTTATGACTTATACCAATCATTTGCAATCGTAGTCTTTTTCACAAAGCATCCCTAAATAACGATGCTGTGAGGTCAGCTTTTGTGCTTGCCGCGTTATATGGCTATTTGCTATTATAAAACTTTATACTCTCATACGCCTTAGTATGCTGTATACTAATCACTAGGGGAGCTCAAGACGAGGCTAGAATCCGATTATTAATGTAGAAAAACTAGCGACTCACCCTTGCTCCGCTCGGGTTCGTCCCTGGGGTGGGGTCTGGGAGGACCACCCTTATCCTTATCACTTAGGGGTATGAAAAATAGATAGTAGCCGATTCTCAGACCTACTGAATACGCATATAAAATTTGGTAAAAATCGGTAAAGCCGTTTCGGAGGAGTAAGGTAATAAACATTGTGACATGGAAATTTTATATATAAAATAATACTACCGATGCATTTAAAATTAAAAGCTTGGTAATAGATAAATTATGAATAAAATTGGAGCTGTGAAAATTATTTTTTATTTGGAATGAAGTTTTTCGAAGGTATTTTATTTTTATTTGAATTCAATAAATTTAATTTAAAAAAGCTTTTTTAAGCGGTGTGTCATTTATATCTATGTTTTAGAGTTTTAAACATTCATGTCCGTAAATGAGTTCAAAAACCCGTCGTATTTTGATTTTAGTTCAAAATAAATATTTGGGTTTAGTAGTTATGTATGGACGCATATTTTTTTTAGGCTTTAGGCATAAGATCCAAAAACTTTTTTACAACTCTATAGATATTTCAAACGTAATGTTAGATAGCCTAAAATGATAGAGTATAAATGATATACAATTAAAAAATAGTCTTTTAAATCAGGCTGGTAGCTCCACAAAAAAAAAACAAAATAAAAATATTTGTAATCTATTCGTACTTAAAAATCTTTAAAATTGATAGTTATTTATATTTCAAAAGATATCTTGAAAGTTGTCTTTTTTTACAGTACACATTCCATATCTACCTTATAAGGTATATCATAAATATGCGTTTTTGCAATAAAAAAACATTTTACAAAAAAGGCACTAATGAATACTTATAAAAGTTAAAATTGTATCGTTAAATAATAATTAAAAAATCGCGATTAAAGTGCAATAAACAATTTATTTATCAATTATGTATGTCGATGCATAACTTTGAATTTGTCAAACCCTTTCACAAACTGAATGCTGTCATTGTCACAATGCGCCAGCGGTGTTCAAACGTAGTGACCGACGAAAATTGCATCGACAATATATCAAGCCTAGTTATGGCTAAACTAAAAAGGATTACCGCTTTTATCTATATATAAATAGGCAACCGAAAACCGTTCAGTACCTTTTTCTCGTCTGTTTGTCAATCGATTTTTGTTTAGTAGCTATTGGTGAGCTTTAGTTTTGAATGAATTTGAATAAATTATTATGCTCCAATTTCGACCACTCGGCGAATACTAGTATTTATAATTATTAATTAGTTTTATAATTTTATTATTACCCTTAATAAAAATTACATTTTTTGAGCCAAGACTTTTCAGTTTTATAGTTGTAAATATATGCCCATCTTTATAATTGCATCTATACTTTACTATATATTACGCAAGGAAACTGAAAAAATAAATAAAAAAAACCGCATCGAAATCGGTCTATCCGTTTGAGAGCTACGATGTCACAGACAGACAGACATCGACGTCAAACTTATAACACCTCTCTTTTTGCCTCGGGGGTTAAAAACAGTGTCCTAAAGTTAGTACCCATAATAGTGAAGTCTGTGGTAGAAGAGTACTAAATGATTTTCGATAACGATCGCGACTTCGTAGATCAGTACAAATATTTAATTTAATCTGTTTCAAAACAATGTAAAGCAACTTGCACTGCGGCTTACAAGTTGACAACATCTGCTATAGAATGTCGCTTAACGTCCACAGTTCTCACTCCAAATACCAAATGTGGGCAGGAATTTTAAACCTAATGAGGCATTTAGATTATGCAATATCTATTCTGATTGTGTTGAGATAATTAATATTTTTGCATAAATATGCAATTAAGCAGTTCGTTGTAAATTATTCTATTGCTTGTTCTAGCTTTAAATATATGTAATAAAACATGCTCGTATTTAAATATTATATTGCGGATGTTTATTTATTTCGTATGAATAATTTGAGGAAAGTATTTCTATAATCGAACTGTTATTATAAATGCGAAAGTTTGTATATGAGTGTTTGTTTGTTTGTTTACGCTGATACGGCTAGATGGATTTGGATGACATTAGATACACAGACAGAATATTTAGGTAATAGTCTGTCTGAGTTACATATAGGTACTGTTACGGTCCCAGGAAGGAGGAGAAGGTAAGTAGCTAAAAAACCATAAAACTCTTATAATTATGTCGTACTTAGACCACTGTAGAAGTGAGAATCACTTTGCTCGGGTACGTCTCTATGTAATATTTCTAGCAAAAAAATATTTCATACAAAAAATATTGCCTTTTTTACTTTTAGATAATTTAGCTTTCTTGCTAGGCTTAGTTATTTCATAGTATAACATTATATACAAACAGATCTATGTAATGTATTATATTAGTGTAGATTTAACATATCATATTTTTAAGTGTGGCAGGTTTAATTAAGTCGCAGCGTACCGCTAATAGAAAGCATAGCAAGGGCGTGTTACTAGTATTCAATAAATTAACGTGTACAAGTATGGAACAGGTAAGTAAATCACAACCGGTTTTGCTTAACTAAGGCAAGCTATTTAAACGTCGTTTCTCATTTCATTATATATGCGACCGATATGTATCCACGCACCTTTCTCAGAAATTTGCTATGTATAGTTTATCATTACAATTTATCTTAACCTTTAGATCAGAGTTGGCGCAATGGAGGCCCGAAAGCACCAAACTATCGACGATTAGCTTTACTGAAAGCTTAAATTAAATATTATTTTTTCAATATTCTTACTAATGAAACTACTACGAGTATATGTATACATTATTATATGTGTTTGTATGTTTGTTACTCTCGCTTGAATGAATTTGGATGAAATTTAGTACATACATATATATACTACTGGCGGCTCACCCTTGTTTCGCTCGGGTTCGCCTTTAGGAAAACAAAAACAAACCTATCCCTCGGGAACCGTACATTTTTCCAGGATAAAAAGCCTATGTGTTATTCCAGACTATAATCTATCTCTGTGCCACATTTCATCCAGATCCGTCCAGCCGTTCTGGCGTGAAAGAGTAACAAACATCCATATTCACAAACTTTCACATTTATAATATTAGTATAGAGATATGACCTGGAGTAAAACACGATACTGTTAGTCATCTAGGAGTAAGGCCGCATCTTCTTCTCTCTCTTTCTCTCTCTTCGTCTCTTACGCACGCAACGAACAACAGGCCGAATTCATTTTTAGCTTCAAAAGAGGTTGTTTAATTAAGTTTGTACAATTCTAAGTTCTCCGTGATATATATAAAATATTACTATGACTGAATTGTCTGTAAGTCAGTAAGAATATTAAAATCATAATTTTAAATACATTTTAAATAGAATTACTATGCAAACCACATCTTTAGATTTTAATTTTTAGTTCAATAACTGTAAAATATTCAAAAAAGTTCAAAATTCTAAATTTCTAGTAATACTAGGTCACCTTAATTTTCTTCTATACACATTTAAATTTAAAGTATGAAAGTTTGAGAGCCCCTGGTCTATCACTATCAGCCTTAATCGCGTTAATTAACGCATGTGTTAGTATTACTATCGGATACTATCGGCTTAGGTTAAGTATTTGTCCATTTTATCTGCATCTAATACAGATAGAAATGGCTTACTTTCTTAAAATAAGCCTTTGACCAACTTCAAAATTAAGAAGTTAAATACTTAAAGGTGTATGCGAAATGAATATATCGCACAATATTATCGCAAACAAACTTACATGATATTATGTTATTACTATTGTTAAGTTTATTTAAAAAAAAGATAAATAGTAATTTTAGTCTCGAGTTCTTATATCAGTCCTTCTCGAGACTGAGACTTCCCTTTTTGAACTCGTGAAAGACTTATGAAAAATACCTCAGTGATAAATTGTAGTTATTAGCCGACAATATTTTAAGATATGAATATCTAATAGGTAAATATGTTCGTATCGAAATATATTAGATTTGCTTTGCATCGGCTGGCACCGACTTCGAAATATCTGATTAGGTATCTATTTCTTCTTCGTTATAGGTGCCTGGAAGTCGGTTTTTTTTAAGTTTTTATATAATTTCAAAATGACTTTAGTATAGGCAATTCAATTTTCTTGTTAATAATATATTTTATCTATATTATATGTATAGATTATATCTTAAGATTTTGAGCAATATTGACAGTCAATAGGCCTAGTCATTTTACGAGTATAATGTTATGCACAAACATACATATGTCCCAATTGAGCATTAATATCTGTCACATTCTTCTTAAAAGGTCACTTACACAATAGGATTAAGAGATCAGTTTCGAGTATGCAAATTTATACTATCCATAACACGAGATGTATGACATCGATAAAACACTGCGCTAGATATGGAGTATAGTTCTTAGATCATTCAATTGTTACTTTTCCTTGTTCAACTTCAAATTTTAGGTTAGAGTTTCCAGATTTATGTAATACTAGCATTACCCGCGGCTCCGCCCGCGTTCAAATGACCAAAAGTAAACCAACGCGGTAAAAAGTATCCTATATGTTGACCCGGATAACCAGCTATCATCATACCAAATTTCATCAAAATCTCTCTAGTGGTTTTTCCGTGATGCGGTCACAGACAGACAGACAGACAAAAATTCTAAAATCTATAGTTTCGGTCTCTGTATCGATAATTTCAATAAGATTTTCCAAAAAATATTTAATGTACAGATTTGGCTTATTTACAATTTTATTATATCTATAGATGTATTTATATATATGTATTCCAAATAATATGTTTTATTTAAAAACAAGTAATATGTACAATATTTTAATTTTTAATCAGCATAATTTTAAAGCTAATCAACAAATAATAAAACAGCAAACAAAAAGACTAATAGTATCCCGTTGCTTCAAATATTTTATAATAAGAGCTGCATTCAATCTGAAATGCCTCAACAATGATTCCAGATTTATGCTAAATTCTTTTGAAGTAAAAAGGCTTAATTAAGAGAGATAATGAGGGTAAGGAGTAGGAGCAAAGCAAATAGCCTCAATTATGGAAGAAGCGAATGGAAAAAATAAATATTTGCACAGACTATTAATTTATTTTCTTTTAAAAATATTTGAAATGAGAAAATTGTTAGAGATTTTGCTTTCGTAATATGATCATAGCTAAACTAAAAGTTTGTGTGTGAACGTTGTATGGAAAAGTACCTAAGTTGTTTTCGTATTTGTTCTCAAGAATATTTTATAATTTGGTAACGGTTCTTTATAATATTTTTTGCACACATTTTTTATAGTGTAAAGCTAAAAGAAGTTATTATGTTTAAATATTTTGATTACGAACCACTGAACAATTAACGACACTTTAATTTTTATAAAGAATAGATGAACAGAAATAATTTTTTTTTATGTTATTAGTAAACCGGATATGGATACAACAAATAGAAAAATCTAGTAGATAGGTAGCTAGTTCATATATTTACAAGGCATGTATAATATGTACAAAACTTTCAGTCAAAATAGAAATGGGAGCAATATGTATCATAAGGTTTTTGTTTCATTCATCTGAAATGAAGGTCTAGTTATATTATAGAAGATTTATATTAAGACAATATTATGTACCTATTTGATGCCATCTTCATAAAGTATCAAAATATAAACTTAGGAAGCCAATAACAAATAATATTTGTCGCTTTAAATTATATTATGTTGGTACAACACATAGCGCCCTTTAGTTCAATGGTAATTTTTCTTGTAGCTTACAAGACTCGTATTATGGATACCAGATAGTTGATACACCACACACATATAACTTTAAATACATATATGCCCCCAGCGGGACTCGAACCCGCAACCACTTGCACATAAAGTAGGGTCACTACATACTGAGCGTGACGTGAAACGTGACGTCAACTTAAAGTACTCGTATAGTAAATTATATTATTTCCTTTTATTGCAGGGGCAGTCAGCAACACTGGAAAGCATAAGAATATCGCTGTCGGCAAAGTTTCCGTCGATGCAGACACCCTCGCAAGAAGTCGTGTACGACACGCTAGCACAACTTATGCAAGAGCGAAAAATCTACCAAACGTCGCGAGGATTTTTTATTGTAACACCTGAGTGAGTTATAACTTTCTTACTTTAAGTACGTAAATTTGTATCGGTTGTATCAACATACAATTCAGATAATTTTCATAATAAAATATAGCGTTTAAGGCATAGAGAGAAATCTTTGTGAACAACTTTCTTCATTTACTGAGTTAAATTCAAGGCAAAATATTTTACATTTAAATGCTGAGTACAACATATTTTATATATTATCAAGTTTTTTTAGGAGTTATAATTTTAATTTATAGCATTATATAAATGAGATATAAAAATTATGAATATACACTAATATTATAAAGAAGTAGTAACCGATGTAGTAGTAAACTAGGAAGAATCTCGGAACCTACTCATTTTATTTATGATATATATATATATATATATATATATATATATATATATATATATATGTGAAATACACATAAAAATACACATACACATGTGAAAATAAAAAAAATATGGTTACACACAGAGCCACAGAATATGAACATGTAATATTTCTTGACCTTAATGGAATCTTTAGGTATGCTACGCGCAGGCACTTGTAAAGAAATTATGGCTACATGTTATTCATGTGTAAAATTGTGTTTATTTTAAACATACATAATATAATAAAAATGTTACTGATCGCTGTCTGTTCATGGAAGGTATTTGAAAAAAATGTTATTGGCTGTTTTTATTAACGCAACAATGATTAATACTTTCTTAGATTTACGCGAATATGTTTTGACATTTGAAATAAAACTATCTTTTCGGATTTTATTGCGGATTTATTTTGATTTTTGGTTCCCGACGTTTCGAATGCTTTACAGCAATCATGGTCACGGGAGAGACTCAGGTTATAGAATCAACAAATATTATAAGGTACTTTGGTGCCATTTTTGAATTTTTGAAATCATTTTTTGTAAAATTGTGAGTAGGTAGGCACTGTCTGTAACTAGTATATAATCGTTATCGTTATATCCTTTGAGACGTCTAAAACCTTAGGTGCGGTTTTCGCTAACATTGAGTATGTGTTTTTTTCAACCGGTTTATAAATAAAAAAAATATGTCAATTTAAAGAATCGCCGGTGAGTCGCTAGTAATTATAATAAAATTATAATAAATATTTTAAAGTATCATTATCATTCACAAGGTCTTTTATTTACAACATACTAAGAGTTACTTTCTGTTTAAGTTCACAAATATCGTTATAAGTTGTGAAATAACACTTATTTGTGTCAAAATATTTCATCAATAATATTAATTACTTAATGGTTTTCATGCACTAACTGTTAAAGGGCCACATCGCAGTACAGCGTGTATGATTGCTTTGGGCACGCGTCTGATATTTTGATTGATGTAATTATAAAAAATAACTTAATTGATTGATTTAATCTTAATTCTGAAATATAATTAATTATAACTAATTATAAAAATTGATGATTTTTTTACGAAGATAGTGTTTTGGAGTTTTTAATCTTGTCATAGTAACCTGGCAACCTGTTAACACAAATATACGGTCATTGATACTGTACATACAAATATCACATCCCATATTAAGAAATTGAAATGCCTTTCTTCAGCTTATTTTATTTAGTTAGCCTAGTTACTAAACGATGGCGGTCCTAGTGTGCTTATTTTATTAAAATATATGCAACACAAAAGAAATTTTGTTAATTTATACCCATTTGCTATACAAAAAGTCGGTACTTTTTTGAAGTTAGTTTTTTAAAATGTATATTTTGTACATAAATTAAAATGTGAAGTTGCTTGAAATTTTCGAACTAATTTTTATTTCTTCTTGATAAGGCCCCACCAATATCCACCAAATCCAGCAAAAAATCTCATATTTATTAATAATGGATTCACTGACAAAACTAAAACTCTTGGAAAGTTAAATGAAATCTATTTTCGTCAGAATTGTAAAAAAACGTCGATCAGTCACCATATAAAGAAAAACCCCAAATATAAAATTCAACTCAAGCCTTAGTTAACAAATACCGCTGTTCTTATTCTGAGAATATAGTTTGTGTGTGTGACGTACATTTTTATTATATAGTGAGTTCGAATGCGATGTATAATTTCACACCACACTTTGATTTGATGTAACTCTTGATAAGCCTTGTCGGCGTTTTACATGATTCTTGTAAATATTTCTTTGAATGTAAAGGGAATTGCTTATTCCTCGTTATCGTTTATCGTAGATATTCAAATTATACGAATATTCTAAGTAGATAGAGCTTTTGGACCTTTTATAACTTTAAGTCACCTTTGCTTCGCTTAAGCTCTAAAACAGTTTAGAACCGATTACGGATTTCGAATTTCCGTGTGAGCCATATTATGTACAGATATTTATTATATAATTTCCCCTGCCGTGTTCAAAAGAATAACATTGATCTGTTACCATTCGAAAAATTAAAAAAAAAACAATCTAATATTATATTGCGTTTATAATATTTATACGATTACCTTTTAAATCTATATATGGGCACGAAATAGTATAAAGTCTACAAATTCGAATAAAACAAATAACATTTCAAAAGCTTCTTAAGTGTTTTCATATATGGTTTGAAAACAATATTTTCTCAAGAAACGCTGCTGTAAATAACGATGACTCATCACGCCGTATAAAGATTTACTTTGTACAAATCTGAATGCACACTGAATACAAATTGATTGCCAATTTGACATTATTACCTCTTAAAAAACTTAGACATTATTATCGTTTCTGTTACACTAACAATGCAGAGCAATAATGTACAGAATTCTTTAATAGGATATTAAATGGACTAAAATATTATAAGTAATATTTAAACCTAATTAAGACTAAGGGCTCACCCTCGCTTCGCTCGGGTTCGTCTCTAGAAAAGTACAAACACATCTATCCCCCGGGAACCGTTCATTTTTCCGGGATAAAAAGTAACCCATTGATTGACCGGCAATATAAGGTATCAGCATGCCAAATTTTACTAAATTAGGTGCATAAGTTGTTGTGTACTAAGCTGTATAAGTTACCATAGTTTTTTAACTATCCCATCATGCAAAATTCCATTTAAATCGGTCTAACGGTTTCGAAGATTAGCCCCTACAAACAGACAAACAGACAAATAAACAAAAAATTTGAAAAAAAAATGGATTTGTACTAATTCTCTCCTTACATCCCCCTGACTCGGTTTTTAGTAATTTTTTTTTCTATGTACAGACATTCGACCTCTACAGTTTTATTATATGTATAGATTTGTACTATAATATATATGTACATTGTGCATACCCTAATATAAAAGCCTACTTAATATAAAATACACAGATTTCATCAAATATATATCATTTTAAATGAAATATTAACTTAACTGAGTGGTTTTGATCTAAATATAGATGGTATCAAGTCACTTTACACTTTGAATAAGGCAAGTGCTAGCTATTAAATGGTACGATATCAAGATCTTATGATAATCGTCAACATCGTTGTTAACACGACGGACTCGCGTTAATTGGCCAGTGGGCGTTCATGCAAATGTGAATGCGATACATAAACTGTAATTGTTATTTTATTGTATAACGTAATTAGTAAATTTTCATGAAAATCAGTTATTTTAATATATGAAAACCTTTGATGTTAGCTCCTTAATCCATACTATCTCATACCTTAATATCATAAATATGAAAGTGTGTTTATTTGTTTGTTTGTTTGCCCTTTTTTCACGTCCAAGCGAAGGTGAGTCGCTAGTAATATATAAATTCGTATCCATAATATCGAAAGCTATGTAAATATATATATGTTTTGGAAAATGCCGTAATTAAACGGATGTATGAACAGATCTTAAGGTAATTTTATGTCAAAAAAAGAATCCGACGAATTGAGAACCCCCTCCTTTTTGGAAGTCGGTTAAAGAGTTCTAGAGCGATCTTGTCTAAGAATTTAATGCTGAGCAATCAATCCACTGCAATTTGTAAGGCTCTATAAGGGGTAATGTGTAAAATATATTGAACTGCCTCGGTGGTGTAGTGGCTAGCATGTACGGCTGCACACCCGGAGGTCCTGGGTTCGAGTCCCGGGTCGGGCCAAGTTTAGTTATTGAGTCTTCCTGTATAGTAAGTTTCAGTAACAGCCCGGAGTTGGGAAGTTGGCGGTGTTCCACCCCCGTGCCTCGGAGAGCACGTAAAGCCGTCGGTCCTGCACCTCAACTCTCACCGGTCGTGTCGAGCAGTCGTCCCACTGGAGTATGAGAGTGATAGGAATAGAGAGTGCACTTGTGTCTGCGCGTACACTTGAGCACTATAATATCTCCTGCGCAGTTGGCTAATCTCATTGAGATTGGCCGCCGTGGCCGGAATCGGCTAGGAGAACATCATCAATGTGTAAAAGCTGTTATATTTTATTCTAATGAAGATATCACTCGTGAAGTAGACTTTTTTGTATCATGGCAAGATTTGTTAATCGTTAATACTTTTTTTGTTCTTTTCCCTTCTATATAAGCTGTATGAAATATGACATGCGAAATAGATTTATCAAAGAGTATGGTCGAATCAATTCATAACTATTATTTCGTTACATTATTTATACTCTGTTCATATATTGTTAGTGAAGATTGTACAGATAAGACCAGGTTTGCAAAGCTTGGTCAATGTGGCTTTTCTAAGAATTACAGTGTGTTTAAGACATCAGTTTCGTAATAAGAAATGATAAATCTTTACGTATTATCGATTTAATTTTATCTCATAAGTTATGTAAGTTGTATGATTAAAACATGAACGTTGTACTATAAATTACACATTGAAGTAATGACACCTAAGATATTTTAATTCGAATAAATAAATCAATCCTTCGATTGCACATAGGTATATCTGTTAGTGTATATATTATATTAAAAATATTTGGGTATAGTATATTATACTAAAAATATTTGGGTATAAAAACAAGACATTACGACGGTGTGTATACTAAAATTTAAAGAGATAAACTAATAAAAACGTCAAGTATACCACTTGACAGTTGATGTTAAACAAAAACGGTACTCTAAGAATAGCATAACGATCAAGTTAGCCGTTAGGATGAATAATAAATACGTGTAAATAAGAAATTTATTACTTTGTAGTAAGTCTTAAACTCAGTCAGGCCACTGTAGAGGTCATAAGTATGCCGTGAACTTGGAAGCGCAAAAAAAATGTCTACCGGTGCAGTAAAATGTTTAAGCGATATTTTTACGGTCTAGCTAATGCCATCTTATCATTATAACTGCGTCGGTGGCGAAGTGGTTTGCATGTACGGCCGTAGATGCGGAGGTCCTGTGTTCGAGTCTCGGGCCGGTTTAAATTCAGTTATTGAGTATTTCTTACAAGAAATTCTTAGTAACAGCCCGGAGTTGGGAAGTTGGCGGTGTTTCACCCCCGTGCCTCGGAGAGCACGTAAAGCCGTCGGTCCTGTGCCTTAACTCTCACCGGTGATGTCGAGTATTCGTCCCACGTGAGTATGAGAGTGACAGGAATAGAGAGTGCACTTGTGTTTGTGCGAACTCTTGTGCACTATAATATCTCCTGCGCACACGGCTATTATCTCAACGAGATGGGCCGCCGTGGCTCAAATCGGTCGGAGGAGAATTACAATATGAATTTCATTTTTTTATAAAAATGCCGTAAATAAAAAAAAACAAATATGTTTTTTTTTAATTTATTATATATTTACAAATATATATTTTTTAGTATTTTTAAATTTCATTATTAGTAGTATAGCTACCTTAATTCATAGTTTTAGGATTAAAATCATCATAACAATTATTCTATAAAAGCTTATCTATAAAATGTACAGCGTTTTACAAGTAGAATGAAATTTCTAATATTAAATATGAATAAAAATATTGTTTTATTTGAAATATATGGTTTTTCTCTTTAATTCGACAGACGTCGCCGATCTCGGTCGCGATCGTCTTCTCGACACCACTCTACCGAAGATGAATGCAGCTCGCCCCGCACCATCCTCATGTCAGATCAAGAAGCACTTCACCAACTCTATGGCGAGATAACCACTGTAAGAGATGGCGCCATCACGCATCAATGTGTGCAGACCAACTTAGCCGATGTAATTTGTGGAGGTAAGTGATAACATCTCATTGAAAATGCGACTATCCAATATTTTTAAGTCCTACTTATTATTATTATATGTATTAATGTTACATTTTAAAGTAATTAAAAACAAGAAATATAAAAAAAATATTATTACTAAAAAGCTTTTTTTCTTCGTACTACTTTAAATAACTCTTCTTGAAACTCAACATTCGGGTCAAAATATATACCTAAGAAATATATTAAGGTAGGTCAAGACTTAACGACTACTAAGTCCGTGAAATTTCGCCTGGCAGATTCACAAATCCGCAAATCTCATAACTGCAATAAATAATTCTCTGAAAAGCTTTCACTGCTCTAGTAGATAAGGGCTAAAATTCTGTAAGCCCGCTGAAACAACAGAATGTAGGACGGCCTGCAGTGCCCTGATTCACTGTCGCAACGCTTTTTGGGCTTCCACAATTTGCATTCAATACTTAAATTTATACTGCGAGGATATTTTAGATTGATTACTGAATTACCTATATAACTAGAACTAACAAAATGTAAAAAAAGTTTATTCAAAAATAAATTTTGTATTTTAAATTGTTCATTGAACATATTATAAATCTATAAAATCTCTTTTATCTATAAAATCTTAAAATCTCTCGTCGCACTGAGTATTTTTTTTTGTTTTTTTTTTTTGGTTTATCGCAATCTCCAATCAATCCAAAATCTCGAAAGTCTACGATTTAGGAACATTTTGCGAAAATAGCTACCTATCGTCATGATGATATTGGTGAATTATTTATTAATACGTCAATATGTAGAGTATCTATGGACTCTACTATTACCTAGTTAGTTGCCTAATATTTTGTGATAGTTGTATGTCTCCAACATTTTTTGGAACTACAAAGTGTTTCTACCGGCTATGATCATCCCATGTAGATTGATGCACCAAACAAGCCAGAGCCTGGGAACAAACAAAGATCGCGGTAACATCGGCAATATTAAACGATAAACATTACTTTGAAACGGCGCAGATATGCCTCTGATGTCCGATTAAGCAAGTCCTCATCATTGCATCAAGCAATTGTAGCCACAACGTCTTTGAACTTGAAGAAGATAATCGTATGCACGTATTTCTCCACTTTATAACTAGTTGCCAATTAAGGCATGTGGATCAGTTTATACCCGTTACTCCATCCTTCTACGGAGGACGGCACTGACATTGTATCTTTTTAAGCTTATCAGTAAGTAAGATAAAATTAGATTTTGCAATCCCATTACTGTTGCAATAAGCTTACGTATTTATTTGAATAATTGGATAGATATAATATGGTTCTTAGAGCTTATTTTTATTTCTCAAAGGAGTTCATTGTAATAAATTAAAGGGAGGTCACTCGATCCTATCTTGGTTTTGCATTGCTAGAAAGTTTTTAGTATTAAATGGCAGCTTGTTTTGTTACAAGAAATTGTGTTATACTTCGCAAAAACTATTAAAAAAGTAGGTAAACGTAAATGAAACTATAGGTATAAAGAAATATCTTGAAGAGAATTATGAGATAATCCTTACAGGATGCGTCATGAGGTTCTATTGTGGACGTATGTATATATGTATGTATATATGCGTAATATATCGCTAGTAAATGCTACGGGCATTCAAGTCACCTTATCTGCCAAACGAAGTATCAAACCCTATGTTTTTGCACCACGCGCCTTAACGCATCTATCAAGTCAGACATGTTATCTCAGAACCTAGCATTAATCTTTATAGCTCTTATTACGACCGTTTAAAGGCGATAATTGTATGTTACATGCATTTATACGCAGTAAAAGATTGATTAGAGCCGTTTCCTGTGCTTTGCGGATTGGCTTTCCACTGATCTCTTTACTTACATACTGGTTTTAAACGACAAATTTACTTTGCATTTGTGTACATCCTTATTGCTACTGTAGGAAAGTCTATTTTGTCTTAAAAAGAAATTGAGGGTGGCTTGTGTAAGATGTGTGTGGCCTTGGTAGGTTAATGCAACTATTAGATATGGACAAGTAAATACGATGAATTATTATAGTATTTAGATTTAAGAGACAGTATAATGTATACAATAAAGTACAGGAAATGTATTTCATTCTAGCGACCGGGTTGGGTTTAAGTTTTTATATTTTACTAGCGACTCACCCTGGCTTCGCCCTTGTTCGTCCCAAGTTACGTTTTAACGTTTAGCTCAGAGATGAGATATTTCCCCGCAGTAAAAAGTATCCTAATATGTTGACTCGGATAGCAAGCTATTATCATACCAAATTTCATCAAAATCTGTCCAGTGGTTTTTTCGTGATGCGATCATAGACAGACAGTTTCGGCCTCTGTATCGATTTCAATAAGATTATCCAAAAAAAATTTAATGTACACATTCGGCTTAGTTAGAATTTTTTTAAGTATAGATTGATTGTAGGTATACGTAATACGATTAAAAAAATAAATGTGTTTTAATAAATTGTATTTCAAAAATCATTGTATCGGCTTTAACCTACAGCTTAAAAAAAACCTAAAAAAATACGCTTTTGACCAAATATATTTACTTAACGTATGGGACAAGTCAACACGAATCAAATGAGCCCAAACTAGCCATAGAAGTCAACTCGATGGTATGAAATTAGTGTATTATAACTAGAAATTCTCACATATCTAATCATTTCATAATATTAACTTTCAATTAAAAAAGTCTAAACCCGACTTCCAAGATACATATTTCATTACTGACTTAGTTATTTAAAAAAAACTAACAAAGCGTTAAAAAGAAGAAAATAAATATCAATAAACTAGCGACTCACCCTCGCTCCGCTCGGGTTCGTCCCTGGGGTGGGGTCTGGGGGGACCACCCTTATCCTCATCACTTAGGGGTATGAAAAATAGATGTTGGCCGATTCTCATAGATACCGGATAAGCACAAAAAATTTCATCAAAATCGGTCAAGCTGTTTCGGAGGAGTATGGCAACGAAAACTGTGACACGAGAATTTTATATATTAGATTGAAAAAAAATAATACTTACTGTACTAAAAACCAATAGGTACTGTTGTCCGTTTTTCTTAAAAACATGACATCGTATAAATAAAAATTTTATATATTAGATTGAAAAAAAATATTACTTACTGTACTAAAAACCAATAGGTACTGTTGTCCGTTTTTCTTAAAAACATGACATCGTATAAATAAAAAGTTTATGCCTATCAATCATTTTCGGTCAACAATCATTGCTAATCGGGCAATATAACAGTAAATAATCGGATTTATTTTATTGCTGCGGTTCCGTTGTACATATATTTCACAATACCGCTAAGTTTCTTAAACAAATTGGCGGAGTCACGAACTTGTGTGACCGCGGCGACCTTTGCTTCTGATGCGGATATAGAACAATGTCACTAACAAATATATAGCTCACTGTCGACCTAATCTAGATTTGAGTTTATAGCGGACTAGTAAATTGTCCTTACCTACTTAGCTTATACTTTATCCGGCGTGTAGAAATATTTCCACTCCCACACCATGTCCCACTGCTGGGGGTGGGCCTCCCATTAAAGTGAGGGGAACGCTCCACCACGCTAACAAAGCGCAGGTGGGTGGACTTCATGCTTTGTTTAAGAAATAGTTAAGTTTTGTCAGATATGCCTGTTTCCTCACGATGACTCCCCTGCACTTTTTAACAAGTGGTATTCATGCTTCGATTTTATACATGAAATTGTCAGAAGTGCGAGACCTGGGCTCGAACCTGCATCACTTGTCTCATCACTAACTGCTGCTATGCAATAATCAAGTTAATTCGTTGCAGTGTGAACAAACATATTCTCGTATTTATATTGCCAATTGATAAGGTTTTTAAAAACAAAGGGCAGTTCGTCTGACATTTCGAAGCTTAGATAAAGTAATCAGACACGATCTGACTTAAATTGAAGGACTTTGGCTTGCGATCAGTTTTCCCATTATATGGTAGAAAACCCACGTATATTGCGTTGTACATACATAAAAAAATTATGAAGTAGGTAATTGATTTCCCTTTTATATTCATCTAATGGTTATTTAATATATTTAAGTTAATTATTATGTCAGTGGTAAAATCCTTTTAATGATAAAATTATTTTAAAAAATGCTTATTAGTGATTTTTTAAAATGTCTTTCTAATGTCAAATTATTCGTTATTATTAGTAAAATTATTAGTTGACGACACATTTGGCTCAGTTTGCAGCGATCCTCCTTGCTGTGCCAGTGGTCGCGGGTTCGAGTCCCGCTGGGGGCATTCATTTGCGTGATGAACACAAATGTTTGTACTCTAGTCATGGGTGTTTATATTTATAATATGTATGTATTTAAAGTTATATATGTGTACTGTATCAACTATCTGGTATCCATGACCCAGGCCTCGTAGCTTACCATGGAACTAGATGGTGTTGTGTGTTCATGTCCCAACATATTTATTTATTATTATTTATTCTACGGGGGAAAAAGGAAGAAAGAGTTAATACGCTTTTTTTAAGTGAATATCAATTTTATATATTTATATAAATACTTAGGTATTCTATGTCAAAAACTCTACTAACGGTGCCTAGGCAAAGATAAAAAACTAAAAACTACAAATTAATTTTAAAAAACATTTACATAAACGTTTATTTTTCCGGGATGGACTAGTTTCATAAGTTAGAAAGCTTTACTGCTTTTTTTTTATTATTGTAAAATTTTCTAATAATTCTTTTCCTCCATTAACGGAAGATAATGATAAATATATTGATTACTTCCTACCATATTTGTTTATTAAAAAGTAACGACACTTGGAAATTATTCTGCAACAATTAATATGCTATAGGTTTCCCTTCTGATTGATTCAATATAGCGAGCGAAAATCGCCTTCGAATGAGCACCAGTCTAATGATATGTCATTACTGTCAAAGTAAAGACACAGTGACAGCTATATGAAAGTGAAGCGTCTTTCCTGACATTAGTAGGTACTTTCCATGTGAACGAGAAAATGCGTATGCTTAATCACGAGGTATAT